GAGTCCAGGCCTTCTCCAAATGACTCCAAGCCAGATGACAGCAATTCTACTCCAGATCATGAACCTCCACCAGATAGTAAGGACTGCTCTTCTGATGACGAATCCGGACCTATTCCTGTAGACCCCATTTCTCGCCCAAAAGATGATTGTGACAGTTTGCCAGAGGAGTTCAAGCCTTCTCCAAATGACTCCAAGCCAGATGACAGCAATTCTACTCCAGATCATAAACCTCCACCAGATAGTAAGGACTGCGCTTCTGATGACGAATCCGAACCTATTCCTGTAGACCCTATTCCTCGCCCAAAAGACGATTGTGACAGTTCGCCAGAGGAGTCCAGGCCTTCTCCAAATGACTCCAAGCCAGATGACAGCAATTCTACTCCAGATCATGAACCTCCACCAGATAGTAAGGACTGCTCTTCTGATGACGAATCCGGACCTATTCCTGTAGACCCCATTCCTCGACCAAAAGACGATTGTGACAGTTCGCCAGAGGAGTCCAGGCCTTCTCCAAATGACTCCAAGCCAGATGACAGCAATTCTACTCCAGATCATGAACCTCCACCAGATAGTAAGGACTGCTCTTCTGATGACGAATCCGGACCTATTCCTGTAGACCCCATTCCTCGACCAAAAGACGATTGTGACAGTTCGCCAGAGGAGTCCAGGCCTTCTCCAAATGACTCCAAGCCAGATGACAGCAATTCTACTCCAGATCATGAACCTCCACCAGATAGTAAGGACTGCTCTTCTGATGACGAATCCGGACCTATTCCTGTAGACCCCATTCCTCGCCCAAAAGACGATTGTGACAGTTCGCCAGAGGAGTCCAGGCCTTCTCCAAATGACTCCAAGCCAGATGACAGCAATTCTACTCCAGATCATGAACCTCCACCAGATAGTAAGGACTGCTCTTCTGATGACGAATCCGGACCTATTCCTGTAGACCCCATTCCTCGCCCAAAAGACGATTGTGACAGTTCGCCAGAGGAGTCCAGGCCTTCTCCAAATGACTCCAAGCCAGATGACAGCAATTCTACTCCAGATCATGAACCTCCACCAGATAGTAAGGACTGCTCTTGTGACGATGAATCCAAACCTATTCCTGTAGACCCTATTCCTCGACCAAAGGATGAAAGTAACAGTTTGCCAGAAGAGTCCAGGCCTTCTCCAAATGACTCCAAGCCAGATGACAGCAATTCTACACCAGATCATAAACCTCCACCAGATAGTAAGGACTGCTCTTCTGATGACGAATCCGGACCTATTCCTGTAGACCCCATTCCTCGCCCAAAAGACGATTGTGACAGTTCGCCAGAGGAGTCCAGGCCTTCTCCAAATGACTCCAAGCCAGATGACAGCAATTCTACTCCAGATCATGAACCTCCACCAGATAGTAAGGACTGCTCTTGTGACGATGAATCCAAACCTATTCCTGTAGACCCTATTCCTCGACCAAAGGATGAAAGTAACAGTTTGCCAGAAGAGTCCAGGCCTTCTCCAAATGACTCCAAGCCAGATGACAGCAATTCTACACCAGATCATAAACCTCCACCAGATAGTAAGGACTGCTCTTCTGATGACGAATCCGGACCTATTCCTGTAGACCCCATTCCTCGCCCAAAAGACGATTGTGACAGTTCGCCAGAGGAGTCCAGGCCTTCTCCAAATGACTCCAAGCCAGATGACAGCAATTCTACTCCAGATCATGAACCTCCACCAGATAGTAAGGACTGCTCTTGTGACGATGAATCCAAACCTATTCCTGTAGACCCTATTCCTCGACCAAAGGATGAAAGTAACAGTTTGCCAGAAGAGTCCAGGCCTTCTCCAAATGACTCCAAGCCAGATGACAGCAATTCTACACCAGATCATAAACCTCCACCAGATAGTAAGGACTGCTCTTCTGATGACGAATCCGGACCTATTCCTGTAGACCCCATTCCTCGCCCAAAAGACGATTGTGACAGTTCGCCAGAGGAGTCCAAGCCTTCTCCAAATGACTCCAAGCCAGATGACAGCAATTCTACTCCAGATCATAAACGTCCACCAGATAGTAAGGACTGCTCTTCTGATGATGAACCCAAACCTATTCCTGTAGACCCCATTCCTCGCCCAAAAGATGATTGTGACGGTTCGCACGAGGAGTCCAGGCCCCATTCAAATGATAATACCGATTCTCCTTCAGATACTCACTGTTCAGATCCTGAATCTGTTCCTGCAGACCCTTAAGCCTTCGTCATGAGATAATCCTACTTAGTATTACTATTGCTTTTATTTTTAAACGTATGAGCTTAATGATCTTTATGAACCCTTAGACCTCCTTAGTTTGTTTTTATGTTTAAGTAGATATATCATCTACATGTATTCCAGAAATATTTACTGTATAAGCCCGTTACAAAACTTGCGTTACACTAAAATTGTTTATTTGTAGATTTCTTAGCCTACAAAATTTTGTAATACAGTATATTTTTTTCCATTAACAATTGGGTACTTAATTGCCAACTAGTCAAATTCAATACTTTTTTCGAACTGTCAAAAACGACAGTTGTCTATGAATTTGGTACGAGATTTTTGAATTGAGTATTGCGACGTCACGTTTATTTAGCGTCAAACAGCATATTTATTATTTTTTAAAAATTGCTGGAAAAATAATAAAGTTGGTCATAAAATCAACTCATGAAAGTGTGATTATTTTTTAATATTGCATTGTATTGAATAGTCGAATAATTTATTTTTGGTTAAGGAAAGTACCCAATGAAGTTTAAGTGTACGTTGTAAAATAAATGATATTTTGTATTTAAGTTAGGTGTACTTAGTAAGCGATTTTCTATAACTTAAGAATAATTAGATAAGGTATCATTAACTTGTGAAAAATAAATGTATTTCTATTCTATTTTTATAGACCTAATACTCGTTATAATTTTTGAAACATAACATA